CAAAGTTTCTTTAACCAGTTATCTGTTCTCGGGCACTAAAGGGGCTACCATAAAATCTTATTTTCTATAACTTATAACTACATGACATGAAATTAGTTTATTTTAAATTTAAATTTATTTTAAATTCAGACAATATTGTCTGAACTCCTGCAAAATAAAATTTCCCTGTCCTTTCCCAGTCTAAACATCAATTTCTTCAAGCCTTTCACATAACATTGGTGATTACCACTTATAATTGACAGGCAACAATTTGTCCCTGTTCCTGCTCCGGGCTGCACACTAAAACTGTTTGTTAATGTCACATTGCCATAGCATAATCCACAAATGCCTTTACTGAGTTCAAATTGGAGGCTTCAGAATCTATCCATACATTTTGAATAAAAAAGCTCTGTCTCAAACTAAACTTAGTCTGATGAAATCTTCTACAATTGTTCTAGTTACCAGCCACATCTGGGTTTATCTAAATGAATTTCTCACAGCACTCTACTGTTTACTCACATATACAGTGCTGTAATGTCACTAGAGAGACAAACCAAAGATTAAGAGTTTCTTTCCTAATTCTTCATGGATCCTCCAAGCCATCTACATATAAAAATAATTAAAAAAAAAAAACCTTCTAATCTTACAAGTGAGACCTGAGACTGTAGCACTGTAGCAATGTCCTCCTGTTGTTCATTGATTTGCTCGAGCAGGCACCAATAACGTCCCCATTGTGAGACTTCTTGTTACTGTTTTTGGCATATCGAATACATCACGGGTAGCTTGCCAGGCTCTACCTGGCAAGCTGGGATACTCTCGGTAGCTTGCCAGGCTCTCCGAGAGGGATGGAGGAATTGAACCTGGGTTGGCCAAGGTCAGCTGTGTGCAAGGCAAATGCCCTACCCACTGTGCTATCACTCCAGTCCAAGAGACTTGAGACATCAGCTGATACTTCAGCAACTTGTCCTCATTGGCAGAAATAGGAAATAGGCCATCACAAAAGGGATCCACCTACATAAATAACAAAGTTGGGTTTAGTCACTGTCTCAACATGTGTTGTAAGACTGGATGGACAACTGAGTGGATGAGAATGAACAACATCATGGCCATACTCTCTTAAAATAAAATGCAGATACACATAAATAACTCAAGTAAGGAGATCTGTGAAATAAAAAAAGAACTATGGGAGTTAAGGGGAAGGTGACTGGATGAGGCAGAAATGGCAACCAGGGGAAATGAAGTGCAAATCAGAGCAACTTAAAACAAGGAGTAGACCTGGGAAGGCAGATTGGATTGGAACTGTGGAGAATAATAGAAGAAGTGCAGATGAGTTGTGTTATTTGTTTTGGTTGAAGCAAAATGTTCAGAATTACCAATTGTAGGAAATAACTCCCTTTTTCAAGATCAGTTAAATAAAGAGTATTTACACCCAAAAATAGATGACCTATCGAAAGAGAGTTAGGGGAGAAATGAGCCAATAAAGCAAACTTGAGATTTAGTAATAACTGTGGTGGTGACCATAGAGAAAGGTGAGTGATGCAAGAATGGGAAGAAAGGAAGGTATTTTTGGTGTTGTGATGATACCAGAACTTTGATGGAATATATACATATTTTATATCCCTAGAATTCTATAATATTAGAAACTAGTGATAGAGAAAAAAGGAAAATAATATTTATATTTTTAAATATTTATAATCAGAACCTAAGACAAAAGAGAAATATTAAGCAATTAAATGAGGATAAAGAGAGAAAAGCAACAGATGAGAAGGAAAAAAGACAGGTAATGTTTTCCATCTAGGATAGGGATAGGGAACATTAAGCCCGTGAGACATACATGGCTCACAAAATCATGTGATCTGATCCTGGCACCTGACAGGACAGACATATACACTTCTCATCCACTGCTTGTGGCCTGTCTGCCTGTTACAAATTCCAAAAGGCTCTTTGTAGAAAAAAAAAAAAGGTTCTCCACTACTGAAAGATTCTTCCACTATTTATTTCACTCCACAACAATTGACTGTACTGATTAGCAGCCTCTTATATCCTGAAAGAAATCTTTGGACTTAGACTTCTAATCCTTATTTTTTTTATTGCCCTCTGTCTTTCATTAACACCAGATCATCCCCCAATCTAACTCATCCCCCTACTTCCACTCCTAATAAAACAGTCAATATGTCTGATCCTAAGATCTTGTTGGCAAGAGTAAAGTATGATATAAAGATGACAGTTCAGTGCTTCTAATGTAAGTAATAATCAAGCAGGGGATTCAAATCATTTTCATTATGCTCAACTGAGGAAGAGAAAGAACAAAGAGGGGATCTAAATAGGTGTGAATTATGGACCAGAGAATCACAGAACTAGCCTAAGGAACACAGACCCTCCTTGAGTTTACACATTCATTCTTTCAACCACTCATTTATTTTATTTATTCCTCTCCCTTCACTCCACCTTTCCTGCTGCCACACAGTCCACGGCCCACAAACATAAAAACAAATTCCACAGCGGTGCCCATTGTCAATTTACACATCATCTTGTCAGCCCATTGTAGTTAACCTAAGTCTGTGCCTGGTGCCCTGGATTTTCCCTTCCAAATGTGCATGGCAGGATAATTTCTAATTCACTGGCTTTTCTCCCTTGTAGTTTCATGAAGTTAAGTGCTCTCTGTTGCATCCCTAGAACTAGCACAGGCTCTGAACTCAGTAAATAATTGTTGAATAAATAAGGTACTGCACCAATAATCATATTATCCAATTCCCTACAATTCTGCAAAGTTCAAAGTTTGGTATGGCCAGTATTGATAACCATGTTCTCTGGCTTTTGGGGTATAGTGAGACTAGTTTCCTATCTCTCTTGCAATATGAATAGAAGTTATTATATCACTTATAATTGTCCCATAAAATTCTCCCATGCTTGCTTTTCCCGGATTTTGTGAACTGAAAACAATCCCCAGGGTTAACCTTAAAAGACACATGTTAATAGAGACTGGAGAGATTGTACACTTATCTTGTGTGCAGTCTACCCACGTTCTATCCCTGGGACCCTATATGGCCCTCCAATTACCACAAGGAGTGATCCCTAAGTGCACAGCCAAAAGTAAGCCCTCAGTAATGCTGGGTGTGGCCGAACACAAAAAAAAGGGGGGGAAGGGGGAATCTACATCTTGATTTGGATCCTATCTATAAAAGAGTCCTCCTATAATATGTTCATAAGAGAACTAAGCCTTTATGTCTGAGCCATCATAAGCTTATGCATCACAGTAGTTCAATATCTAACTAATTAATTCAGTAACTCTCCTAAACTTTATCAGCTAACAACTGTTATATCCCTAAGGAGAAAGAAAGGCCATTCAGAGGTCAGTACAATCTTTTCTAAAGATACTAAGTACCAAAACTGACTAAAAGTTGTTTGCTCATGATCATCAGGGAAAGAAATTATTCTTGCCTTGGGCTTGCCTGGACTTGGGCAACAGACACAGACAGGCTGGGCAAATTCGGGTGATATCAAAACCCCAGATAGTTGGCTGGCTGGCCTCTCTCCCTCTCAGAAGTGCAGGGCATGTCCCGGAGGCCTTGGACAGATGCCCAACTTCCTTCTCCAACAGTCTGGGCTCTGGTCTCATCTGTGCTTACCTTATACAAATGTCTCTAAAAGACATCGCCCTGTTTTCAGTGCCAGCTAAAGAAAAGCTGACGAAAGAGTTTTTTGAAAAGAAAAAAAAAAGCCACACAAGTCTACACTGCCATAGAACAAGGACCAACCTCTGAATCAAGCTTTCAGCCGATGGGCTACAAATGCCATCTAGACAGAAATCACCCACAGCAAAGTTCTTCTGCCACAGCCCATGTGCCTCACTCCGACTGTTGTTTCTGCTTCACATTACACACTTCAAAGACTTCCTCTCCCTGATGGACTAGGGTATTTAGGTAATTGAGTCACATTAACAAAATTAGTAGTATGTTCTTCATATAATTGCTTGTTCAGTCCAGGTCTTGAAGAGTTTTAAAAGGGTAAATTATTGACTACTCTTTTCCTTTCTTCATTGCAGGTTGGTTGCTTTTAAGATTTTCTAGATCAGGTGACTCTGATTATTTTGACGACTAAAGACACATTTAAGAATTTGGTATAATGCCTTTTCACAGAGAAGCATGTATTTCCCACACATGCATGCATACACTTTGTACAGTTTCAGAGTACACAAGACACCCAATTCATTACTGATCCCAAGGTGACAAAGCTTGGTTGAGATCAGCAAACTTTTTCTCATGGGCAATACAGTAGTTTGGATTTTTTTATTACACATACTCTTTGTTACTTCTCAACTCTGCTATTGCTGAATGACAATTCATGATCATATTCCCAGAAAAGCTTTGAGTATAGACATCAAAATGTGTATTTCACATTATTTTCAGATGTCACAAGATCTCTTTTCTCAGTCTTGCATAAATTTTAAAAAAACTATCCTTAGCTGGTAGTTTATAACATTGACCAAAGTTTGTCAACTCTTGTAGAGGGTGTGGATTCTAGAGATTCAAAGACTTTGAAAAGATAATTAATATACTTTTATTTTTTCTAACTTATAATGGGTAGTTTATGTTGCCTTCCTTCATGAATGCAGTTATCAAACCTCAGTACTATCAGCAAAAACTAGGTCATAAGCAAAAATCACAGTACATCCATATCATGTTAGAATGTTTGTAAATAATACAAAATATTGACGATGTCCATCAATCTATTTTGAAATGTGCCCATGACAATTAGATCTTAAGCTGAATCTTGGTGTTTAATGTCAAATCATAAAGAATATATATCATTATACCACACATTTTAATTTTAATATTTTGATAATGGTTTAAGTATAATTTATTTCCTTTCAAAATCTACATATTTCACTTTGTGGATTTAAAAACAGTATAATAATAAGTAGGCTAAAGCTTCAACAAGATACCAAAGAGGTCACAGAAGAAAAAAGGTTCATAGCCCAGATTTAGAAGCCTAAGCAGGCAAACCATGGCATCTCCTACCAGGGCATTTACATCTTCGGTTTTGTGAATGAGCATCCGAATCTCCTCTGGATCACCGCTGAAGATGGCTTGGACCAGTGGTGGCTGCAAATACAGTAGAAATTTTCATAAGAATTATAACTAAATACTCTGCTTACATTCAGATAATGGTGGCTAGAATATTTGTTTCCCAAAGGTTTATTCAACAATTATCAACTGGCACATAGGAACTAAGCACTTGCCTTGCAATCCTCAGCATCACATATGGTCATCAGAGCCACTCCATGAGCAAGCTCTGAGCACCAAGTCAGGAGTAAACCCTGAGCACAGTTGGGTGTGATCCCAAAACAGCAACAACAAAAAATACATTGACAAATAGCCAAGATAAATACCAGGAGGTTCACTCCATGGCTTGGAGGCCAGCCGCACATGCTAGGGGAAAAGGCAGCTCAGATAGAGAAGGGAGCACCAAATAAAGGATGTTGGGAGGATCCTCCCAGGATGGGAGAAGCATGCTGAAAGTAGACTATAGACCGAACGTCATTCCCACTCAATGCCTCTTTTGCAAACCACAGCAGCCAAAAGGAAAGAGAAAACAAAAGGGAATGCCCTGCCACAGGGGTGGGGTGGGATGGGGGGGGGGGTGCGGAGGTGGGAGGGATACTGGAAGAATTGGAGGTGGAGAATGGGCACTGGTGGAGGGATGGGTACTCAGTCATTGTGTAACTGAAACCCAAGCACAAAAAATTGTAAGTATACAACTGTACCTCATGGTGTTTCACTAATAAAAAAAAAAAAACATTCACAGAGATGAATATGGCTCAGACCCTTTCCCATTTGATGTCTAGTGAGGAGGATATTTAAATAATGACAAACTATCAAACTATAATATAATATAATATAAAAGCCATGACAATCACATCTAACCTGAGGAGATGAAAATCAACCATATGAAATTCATCCTTGAAAGACCCTTAAAATCTCCAATCAGGAAATGATCTGATCTGTGGCTTTGTGTATCCAATCCCCTGTCATTTCCCACCTCTTATAAGTCAATTTCCCTAGAAGTCTCAAACAATTCCACTCCAAAAAACATCCATGGTCATGTTTTTGGCCTTTGAACACTTCTCCCAATATTTAGAAAATGCTTGAAATAATTCTCCAGTGTTTCCATTTTGAAATACAGGCTCTGCTTGGTTGGTTGGGGGGTAGTTGGGGAGCAGTGGGCAGACGGGAACCAACTCCCATTGGTACCCAAGGAACTATACAGCACCAGGTAGGAAATCCCAGGGCTCCCACATGCAAAGCAGGCCCTCTCTACTTAAAGAATTGGAGTCCTCATTTTCCCTGTAAATTTGCATTTCTTTTCTTATCCTTCATATTGTCTTTGACATAGTGTTGTAAAATGTTATTTAGAGGTACTAATATAAGTATAATCTTAAATATAAGATTCCTAAGAAAACACTATATTTAAAAATATAAAACTGCAGATAAATATTTCAATATTATAGTGATTTGTCCTTAGTTTTCCCTCTGCTATATAGATTTTAGCAAAAAAAGTATATACTTTTTTGTTTTGGTTCAAAGTGGCAGAGCTGATCTTAAGTGTTTAGTGCATGCTTTTCCTGCCTGAGACATGGGCATTAATCCCTGGTATTGCATGGTCTCCAAACAGCACTAGGGAGGGACCTCAGAGCACCACAAGGGGTGGTCCACCCACTCCCACCCAAAAAATGCTCTCAATTCTCCTTGATAAAGTATATAATTCAAAGACAGCTTCTCAACTTCAACAATTAAGGAACAGGAAGGAAGTCTTGGAAAGCGTATAGGTTTCTGCTGTTTGGGGTCAGTTGACCACTCTTGTCTGAAGACAAAAACATCCTTCACCTGCTGCCCGAGTCTCTGGGTTATCTGTCCTGAGGCACACATCATCACATTCCTGTCCAACACAGAGTCGGACACTGATTTGGAATTTCAACAAAAATATCTGGATCTTGTCTGTGTGTTTCATAATTCTTTATCTGTTGTGCTTGTGGCCAAAGGCTTTTGTGCACTCTTTTGCCTTTTTGACCCTTAAGAGAAAACAAATGGCAGATGCAACAGTCATCACATGACTAACAGAGACAGAATCTGACATGATTTTAATGTTAATAGTGTTCAATCAACAGTGAAAAATTAAGATTTGAAAGAACCAACCCATCCGGTCACTAATGTACCACCAGTAACTTTAAGGGAACACAGTTACGCATTACTCATGAGTATAAGGAATGCACGCAGATATTAAGCCTCATTCAGTCCTCAGACTTCTCAAGAAAGACAAGCATTGCTAGCTATGGCTGGAATGTACTGAAGGAGAGGCACTCTGACTGAACTGCCGTACAAGTATGCCAGTAGAGTCCTTCAGCGGGGAGTGAGTTAGGAGAGCTTCCCAAAATCCCCGAAAGCCAGACCTGAGAGCTGTTTGGAAGGTTATTATCAATGCACAGAAAACCCAGCAGAGAGTGATGTGTAGAGTTTCCCACATTTCTCTGGGCCTTGCTAACACTGCTTTGGAACATACTGTCAGTGCACAGAATCCTCTGCATGCATTGAAAAGGAGCTGAGTTACTGTAATACTTCCAGTGCTGTAGTTCCATACATGTATACATACACCCATAAGTACTTGCCTACATTTGCAAAGGATTATATATATATATATATATATAAATATATATATATGTGTGTGTGTGTGTGTGTGTGAATGTGTGTGTATCTACACTTCTGTATATATACACCCCAATTCATATATAAAACTCACACTCCCAGAGGAATAACAGAAAAATATCTATTTTCCTAGACATTTTTCTAGTAAAACTTTAGAGTTTTACTAGATGACATCTCTGGCTCCAGTAGTGTCACATGGCTGCCACACATCATTACTGTCATAATTATGAACCCAAGCATCATGGAATTTCAAAAGAACTTCACAGATACTTTGCTTAAACAAAAGCTGAGCATTTTCATGAATGTAATTCTTGGACTAAATTTCTGTAACTATTGAGCAAGAAGTAACTTTTTTAAAGTGTTACAGGTGCTTCTTTTCTGCTCCACAAGACCAAATAAAGCATGCACAAAGATCACTTAGACATTCTGCTTTGTTGGGGTTTTAAACCAAATCTTCTGTTTCATTTTTCCCTAGGTAAACATCCTAAAGAAAAGTATTCTGAAAAAATACATTTAAGGTAAGGAGAATATTCTAATTAAAATATTTTCATTCATCGGGGGGATGGGAGGGGTTTGAGGGAGGGGCTCTGGGATCATTGGTGGTGGAGAATGGGCACTGGTGGAGGGATGGGTACTTTAATCGTTGTATGACTGAAACATAAGCACGAAAGTTTGTTAGTCTGTAACTATACCTCACGGTTATTCGTTAATAAATAAATAAATAAAATATTTTCACTCATATCAAGCACATATACTCTTCTCTATTAATTTGGCAACTACTATAACTTTTGCAGCTTTGTTCTTCACCTTGAGAAAACAAGTCTGTGAAAGAGAAAAGTCTTATGACCTTGTCATGGAATGGGGATCTCGTTTGAAAGTTTTTCACATTTCAGTACTAATTTAACTAAACAGGAGTGCGCTTTGTGCAACAGGGTTCAAAGTTAACAGAAATAAACTCATAACCAAGGTAAAAGTTATAAAATAAATAGTGACATAACATAAAGACTCAATAAATAGTGGCAGGGAAAAAAAGACACTCCAATATCATGAAATCATAATAATTTTCTAAAGAAGTTTACCATGTTAAGTGAGGTATATGGGGCTGGAGCAATAGCACAGCGATAGGGCGTCTGTTTTGCACACAGCCAGCCGGGCTGAGCCGGGTTCGATTGCTCCGCCCCTCTCGGAGAGCCCAAAAAGCTACCGAGAGTATCTCACCTGCACGGTAAAGTCTGGCAAGCTCCCCGTGATGTATTCGATATGCCAAACACAGTAACAAGAAGTCTCACAATGGGGACGTTACTGGGCCCGCTTAAGCAAATCGATGAATAACGGGAGGACAGTGTGAAGTGAGGTATATAGTAATCCTGACTTCAATAAAGTGAAAATTTTTTAGAAGGCTCAGCCCTTATAAACTAGAAGTAATTGTCATGTGGTGTGTAGCTGGCATGGTCCCTCATGTAAATTCAGGAGGGAAAAGGCCTGTCCTACCAATGGTACAAGTGGGACTCAATATTCAGATGGGACTTGTTCTTGTCTTGGATTATCACCAACTACCAATGCCCTGTCATTGCAGTGTGTTGAAATATACCTCCTAGAGCTTGTTGCCTGCCATGATCAGTCTTTAAGAATAAATTAGGAAAATATTTGACTTCCAAAATTAAGACCCTAAATCTATTATGTGCCAGTAACACAAGAGTCTTCACCTCTGTAGTACAGTTCCACTAGGGGGAGCAAGATGGTAATCTGTTACCTGGGAAGTAAGGCCAAATGTTCAGGTTGTGCAAAGGGAAAGCAAGGTAGTTGGAGTATTTATTCAAGAGCAAAAAGAAATCAAACTTCTGAGAAAGGGCTCATTAATAAGGAAACATACACACTCTATACATACCCAAACAAAAAGCATTCCTATTGATCTGGGGGAGCCTACGACTACAGGAAATAATAAAGCTATCTAAAAAACTAGATGTCAAAATAATCCTTTTCATCATTTCAAATTCACAAACCCAATGTAAATATTCCCTCAATTCCACTTTCCAAAAGTGTTACCAGTGGCATCATATAGGTCATCAGTGTAAGAATAAAGGCTACCAGGCTAAAGATGTAGAGGTAGGTCACACATATGAAGCCTTGGTATTCATCACTGGCACATACGAAGGAGAGGGAGGAGGCTGAGGACGAGGAAGCTCATCATGGGAACTATAGGGAAAGCATAGCTAGTTTTAGAGCAGTGATTTCATTCCATGTTGAGGTCATTCCCCACTTGCAAAATATTCCAGTTAAATCTCCAACTCCTGGATGGCCTCCCAAGCATACTAGCTATAACCTCTGATGGCCTCTTGCTCTGCACCCTCCACAAAAAGGTGGGGGGAAAGCCTACTGAAACCACCAGTTTGATTTTTGCT